TTTTGAGACAGGGTCTCAACTATGTAGTTGAGACTGACCTGGAACTCACTATGCAGCCCAGGCTGGTCTTGAACTCACAGCCATCCTCCTGCCTCAGCCTCCTGAGTGCTGGGATTACAGGCGTGTGCCACCACGCCCGGCTTAGTTTGGTTTCTGAGAAGGGTCAGAGATCAGTTGTTCACTTCTCTCTTTGGAGTCCAAAAGGAACCCAGGCCTGTGTCCTTGCACCCTGCTGCAGAAGGTGCTCCTGGTCACACGTGACAGTGTCCTGCTCTGGATTTCCAAGGCCCCAGAGCCACACTTCCTGTCTCACAGGAAGGACAGCAGGGGAAAGAAAGGACGTGGACCCCAAAACCTAGCCATAGCGGCGTGTGACATGCAGGCCCCGTGGCCGGTGCTTCTCCTGCTTACTAGGTGACCGCAGAGGCACCACGGAAATCAGTGCATCTGGGCTAGAATTGAACTGCACAGAACACATTTGTAATTTTTCCATTTTGGTACCACGACGAGATTAAGTGCTGTCGCCTGAAAGGATCAAGGAATCGAGTTTTCGTTTTCATTTTTATCATGGCAGATACATTTACATTCTCCGTTTTTACAAATGCAAAGAGCAGCCCGGCCACTTTCAATAATTTATTTTAAAATCAATGCTAATGAGGTTGCGTCTCGTCCGTGGGCGAGTTTTACAATAAAGTCTGATTTATTTAGAAAAGATCTCGGGTGTAGAGTCCCAGCTAATGGCGGGGAAGGAGGCGGAGCAGCAGGGATGGCGACCCTCCAACTTCGGATCCAATTTGTAATTCACAGCGGAGATCTGACCCAATTTACATTGATTAGAATTGGGAGGAAGAGGCAGCTGGGCGGGCAGCGGGGGCAGAGACAGCCTCTCCGCGGAAGCGCTTCGAGACGGAGTAGCTCGGCGTCAGCAAAAGAGCTGCTCCGGGCCGGGGCGGCCGGTGTCCCCAGCAGAACACCCGGCTCTGGCCCTAATGTCTTCCACCCACACAGTGAGTCCCGCGTCCAGAAGGAGAGGAAGGAAGCCTCCGAGTACCGGGAGGACAGCACACAGACAACCGCGTTTAATGGGATGTAGATCCGCTCTTTCACCCCGCCGTTATCTCCCAGTTTCTCAGGGTGGCTCGGGGAGCCCTGGAGGCGGAGCTCAGAGCCGTCTGGTCAAGCCGGGGCGGGCGTGGTGATGCACTCCGGAGGCTGAGGCAGGAAGATCACCATGCGTTCTAGGCCACCCTGGCCTGCGCCGTGAGACCTGTCTGAAAAATAGAGGGGAGGATGTCCCTGGCCTTCTTCCCAAAGGTTCCGTTTGGTGACATCCCCACGGGGAACCAAGACAAGCCCGTACTATGAGACCCAGAAAGAGAAGGGACCGGAAATTCAGTCAGGAATCGGAATCTCAGTATTCAGCCCTTAAAACATTGCGTCCTGTGCCCCATCCACAGACAGAACATGTGTGCGTGCGTGCGTGTGCGTGTGTGTGTGCGTGTGTGTGTGTGTGTGTGTAAGAGAGAGAAGAGGAGGTGCTGGTGGAAAGCACCGTGAGTACATTTTTGCTCACCTGGCCCCGTGTGTAATGTGACTCTGGTCCCTGGCCCTTCCCTAAAAGCCCACTCCCTGCTGCGCTGAGCAGGGTGCAGCCAGCAGGAAACAGGCAGAGCTCTTGACTTGGGCCACACAAAACCTCACCTGGAGTTAGACACCAGCACCGCCTCCGAACCTATTTGGTTTGGTTTTGTTTTGGGTTTTTTTTGTTGTTGTTGGTTGTTGGTTTGTTTTTTGAGACAGGGTCTCACTATGTAGTTGAGACTGACCTGGAACTCGCTATGTAGCCCAGGCTGGTCTCGAACTCACAGCGATCCTCCTGCCCCAGCCTCCCGAGTGCTGGGATGACAGGCGTGCGTCACCATGCCCAGCTCTCAGAACCTATTTGGCCTCTTAGCAATTAATTAAAAGCCCATTCCAAGTGCCCTCAGGAGCTCCGACTGCAGAGCGAGGCAAAGCCCCAGGTACAGGGGCATAAAGTTAGGTACACGACCGGCTTCCACCACAGTCCAACAAAGACCAGCTAATTGCTGAGGGGTGAGGGACCTGCCTCCATCACACCCCGCGCTGTCATTCCCCATTCCTCCAACCAGAGAGACGCCTGCCTGGAGACAGTAAATGTGGTGGAGAATTCCAGAAAGGAAGGAGAGATGGGTTGAAGGAAAAGATTCGGATTCTAAGGAGAAGCACTTCAATAGTCCATGGGATCAGAGGCTTCACAAGAGACGGGACCCTGAGAGCCTTGTCTGTGGCTTGTCCCCAATTCCTAAAGTGTACTTTGCGTGTAGTGAACACTTCAAAATGTTTGTAAGAGAATGAAAAGAGCTGAGCATGGTAGTGCATCCCTGTCACTCTCAGCCCTTGGGAGGCTGAGGCAGGAGGATCGCCACAAGTTCAAGGGCAGCCTGGGCTACATAGTGAATGCAAGACCAGCCTGGACTGTATAATGAGACTCTGTCTCAAAAAAACAGAAAAGAAACTGAAAGCGAAGAGGGGCCCCGTTGAGGACCAGAGCTGGTTAAAACGAAACAACACCGACAACAAAACACTATCTGAAATTTCCTTGAAGGAGAGAGATTGCTAATGCTGATGCTCTGTCCCTTCAGATGAAGAGCTTGACCCGGCGGAGGAGCGTGGGACTCAGCGGAGAGGAGGTAGGAGAGCACCTGGGTGCCCAGCGCGGGGTGGGACATCCCGGCTTAGACTAGGCCGGGGCGGGCAGCCCGGAGGGCCCCAGATGAGTGACCAGAGGGCCGCACCGTTCACTGCTCCCTGTGACGCGGCTCCCGGAGCACTGCCGATGTATCCTGGAGAGTCTGGGAAAGCGCAAGCAGGTATTTATCTTCCCCTGTCCGTACCTCTTGTGTCAGTGCAGTGAAAATAGAACGGCGTCATCCCGGGGACGGGGACGAACGGGAACCTCTCCTCTGTGCGTGTGCAGGGGGAACGGAAACGCGTCAGCCCTGGAGGGTGAGCGGGGCGAAGGGTAGGACTGCGTGGCAGAGCCCACTTCGGGTGGCCTGGTCCGACCCCGGGCACATTTGGAAATGGATACGTATCGGTTCCGTTGAACACGGAATTACATCTTCCCATCTCGGACTGTCAGGGCCGGGCCCTCCCCAGGCGGCGGCCCCCGGAGCCTCCTTAGCAGGCCAAGGACCTGATCCTCCCTCCTGGGTCAGGGGTGCTGTGGTTACCGGGGCTGCGGAGGATGCGTCCTTCCTCGCAGCAGAGCCCAAGTCAGGCCTGAGGTAGACGTAAGGGTCCAGCTTCTTCTAAGGGAGAGAGAGAGAGGTCAGAGGTCAAGTAAGAAGTCACAGGCAAGGAGTCCGGGCGCGGTGCCGCACGCCTGTCATCCCCGCACTCGGGAGGCTGAGGCAGGAGGATTGCCAAAAGTAGGAGGCCAGTCTGGCCTACACAGAGAGACCCCGTCTCAAGAAAAAATTCAGCTTGTCTCCCACCTCATTTCATTCCCTCCTTCCACCTTGCTCTAAGTTTTTCATCTGGGAGGCGAGAAACATTTTTTTATTTCTTAATTGTTCTAACAGGTATAATTCAAATAGGATTTTTAAAAGGAAAAGAAAAAGGAAGCCCTTTTGTTCTCCTGCTTCCTGCCTCCGAAATAGGTGTTGTTCAAGTACAGCGAGCTCTAAATATGTTTCCGAGGTTTATATTCCCACCCATTATGATGATTGGTGACTTTGTGATTAAAAAACAGGAGGACTTTTTCGCTCTGTCTGCAGAATTCGAGGCAGCAATTTTTATTATTTGTTTACTTATTTATTTATTGAATTTATATGGTGCCTTTCTACCAGAAGAGCTATAGAAATGGCAACAAATACGTCCTTCCAAACGTCATCACTTAATTCTACGACGGTAAAATACAGAGTTCTGGGAGAAGGGGGAAGGCAGGCAGCCCCATGAAGGCTTTTGAAAGACTAAAGCCAAGCAGGGTGGCGCACGCCCGTGATGCCAGCACTCGGGAGGCTGAGGCAGGAGGATCCCATGAGTTCAAAGTCCGCTTGAGCCACCTAGTGAAGACCCTGTCTCCAAGGCAGGGAGTTGTGGGATGGTGTGATTCTTAGGTCTTAGACAAGCTACACGAGTTCTTCATTGAGTTCTTCTCCGAGGCTAATGTCTCGGAGGAAAGAGAAAATGTAAGCGAAGATCCTGTGGCCAGCAGGGTCACCGTTAAAACCCAGGTACTTTCTCGCAGCCTCTCGTGGACCCCGTTCCTTAGATGGTTTCCGCGTGGACCTGCTGCCATGTTTAATGCTGGCTAGATCTTATCAGGGAGGGAAAGGAATTCGGTTTACCCTTATCAAGTGTTAATGACCCTGTGCAGGGCAAGTTCTTTTATTTTATTCTGTTACCTCGAAAATCTATCACAGCCTTGTAGTATTGATTGTTCAGTCCCTAAAGAGCTCGGTTACAGCCTGACTGTTAGTAACAGGGTTATTTTAATGAGCAATTCTTCAACACCTCCTATTTTCTCTCATTTTCAACCTATCAGCCCAACAGCCTAATACTAAGGTCCTGAGAGCTTATCTTGCTTCCTTCTCAGGAAAAGGTGATGCCCGGGCCGGATGTGGTGGCGTACACCTGCCATCCCGGCACTCGGGAGGCTGAGGCAGGAGGATCACTGTGAGTTCAAGGCCAGCCTGGGCTATACAGGGAGACCAGGTCTCAAAAAAAAAAAAAAAAAAACAAAACCACCAAAAATCAAAAAACAGAAAACAAAAGAATATACAATAACACCAGCCTGGCCTCCATTATAAAAGAAACAACTACCGCTGATTTCAAAGAACTTGGCACGGCACGAAAAATGCTTTGCGATAGATACCTGCGAAAGCAAAAAAGCGCTACGTTTCCCAACCTGTCTGCTGTCCTTTCCTGTGACATTTTGTTTGCTTGAAGCTGTACTTCCCCGACAAGGGATAAAGAAAATAAGACCGCGCCCAGCACCTTTTTTTTTTCTCCAGAAAAATCCCTTCTCAGCTGGGCTAGCAATTTAAAAGCAGCGACCATCTCATTAGCTTCTGTAGCACTGTAATTGCTGTTAATTGTTATAACTGTTTTAGTTATTAGTGGTGTCATTAAGGCTCTAGGTTCTCTGTCTGTTTTATGCTGAATATATTAGTGCTTTGCTTTTGAATTACCAGGCTTTATTTAGTGCAGAGTGACGACGTTTTTTGGAGAGACATTGAGAAATACTGGCATTAAGCTTTATTCTTTTGTTTTTCATTCCAAATGGACAGGCTGGAAAAAAATAATTAGATGGAATAATGTCCTCGAAATGAGAATGAGGATGTTTAGAATTAATTAAATGGTCAGACGACCGCGCCATCCTGGTCTCAGGCTGCTGCCAGAGCAGTGTACACTGAGAAGGTCCCAAATCCAACCCACAGAGTAAGCCTCGCTCTTTAGCTCCTGATTCCTCTCGTCGCTAAAGAAAACAAAGTCCAAGCCGGGCGTGGTGGTGGCACAGAGCTGTCATCCCAGCACTCAGGAGGCTGAAGCAGGAGGATCCCTGCACGTTCCAGGCCAGCCTGGGCTATGTAGGGAAACCTTGTCTCAAAAAGAGAAAAGTAGGGCTGGGGATTTAGCTCGGTGGTTTCACCACCTGCCTTCCAAGCACAAGGGCCTGCATTCGATCCCTGATACCAAAAGAGAGAGAGAGAGAGAGAGAGAGAGAGAGAAAGTAAATAAATCAAGATAATGATAAATGTAAATCAGAGTCCATGTGCAGTGACTGTCTGTAGGCCAGATAACTTTAGGACAAGGCTGAACTCACCATGCAAACTTGAGAACTCTCAAACTCTCGCTCAAACTCTTTGGGACCGAAGCCCTCCCTCCCTCCCTCCACCTCATCTCCGGGCCTCCAAGAGACGCTCGGCAGGACACATTTCTTAACTAAAGCTGAAGGTTCCCAGAAGCCTTCCCCAGCCCCTCGGACGGTGTTCGAGTCCTTACTGCACGCAGCAGCCGCGGTAATCAGAAAGGAGATTCCTGGAACTGTCTCACGGTGCCTGTGCACCGTGTGACCTAGGGACGGTGCGTTTGGTTTGGATGTCAAGGGGTGAATTAGTGAAGTTGTAGGCACACATGCACGAAAACGCCGGTCACGCACATTAAACTGGGATCTGATACAGAGTCTAACCTTAGCCAGGTAAAGAATTGCTCCTCAGTGAAGCCAGGCGAGGTGGCGGACGCCTGTCATCCCAGCACTGGGAGGCTGAGGCAGGAGGATTGCCACATGTTGGAAGCCAGCCTGGGCTACATAGTGAGTTCAGGGCTTAGCCTCCAGAATCCTGCCTTCTTACCACTCAGAAATACCAAGTGAAGTCTTAAAAATCTATTCTCATGGAAATGATTTTCCCTCCTGTATATGAACCCACGAAGAATATCGATGTCAATTTACGTCTCGTTCCTAAATTTAGTCAAAAGCAGGGAGCAACATCAACCAGTTACAACCAAAAATGCACAATGTACCCTCGGAGAAAACTAGCTTCACTTTTCAGGGACTTGTGTATCTCCGTTGTTTCGTGCACCGATAGCCCCCAAAAGAGATGCTTTGTCTTTTCAATAGTTGGCGTTTTTCTCTCAGCCTGTTTTTCCTCCCGACGAATTCTTAACTCTGGCAGAATGTTTCCACTGCAGTTATTTTGTTTGCTGCCCTCTATTGTCTGCTGCTCACACAAACACTTTCCTGTTCAAGGAAAACATGCCCAGGTTTCTGTGTGACATTTTTACTCCTTTGCAATGCCAGTCTTAGTCCAGTAGTTCTCTCTCCCGGGTTGTTTTGCTTTGGTTTGATTTTGCTTCGCGGGGAGTGAGATGAGTCTCTCCATGTAATCCAGACTGGCTTTGAGCTAGGTGGCCCAGGCTGGCCTCAAATTCAAAGCGATCCTCCTGCCTCAGCCTCCGGGGTGCTGGGATGACAGCTGTGTGCCACCACCACGCCCAGCTTGTTTCTTTGTTGTATTAGAGACTCCTACTAAAGTTCTTTTCCAGAGACATACAGGGACTTGTTGCCCTGAGCCTTTATTGTTTGAATTGCTCGTAAGTTAGGAACAAGTAGGGGGGAAAGTGAACCTGCTCCCTGGAGGGACCAAACAAGTCAAGGGAAAATGGGGGTTGGCGGAAGCACCGGTTCGCAGCACGGTTCCGGGGCATCCCAGGGAACACAGTCTGGGCCCAGCAAACACGTGGCTCTCTTGCCATTCAGACCTCCAGGCCTCGGGCCACTTGGTCTCTGGTGTTTCACCTTTCCGGGTAGCGGGGATCGATACAAGCCCTTCGCTAGGAGGAATCGATGGCTGTCCTTGGCCATCCACGCTTGCTGAGGAGCCCAGTAAACCTCTCCAGGGCTTCCAAAGCTCGGTGCGTCTCTGCTGCTTTCATTTTTAATGCAGATCAGTTCGCTTTCTGTCCCCACCACCCCACCCCCGGGGCTGGCGCATAAATCTCGCAGACACAGCCAGATCTGGCAGAGGGCCCAGCCCCCCAGATCCACGCGTGATGGATGGGACCCCCTCCCACTGCTCCGCCTAGAGCCGGGGTGGGCGTGCAGGGCTCGCGTGGGACGTGGGCGGGAAGAGCCCGGATGAAGCATCGCCCCTACGCAGGTGCGGGGTGAGGGGGCTTAGCCTGCGCCCCTGGGAGCTCCGAGCAGAGCCCCTCAGACCGGCAGACACCGGATCAGGAAAGTCTGGCAGAAAAGCTCTTTGTGCGGCGTATTTACAAGCCCACTGAAAAATCACCAGCCTGATATTCTTTTATTAATAGATAAATATGTTACTGGGTTGCTCAGCAGCATCCTACTAGGGGTGCTCTGTAAATATTTAATGTTAGTTAATGATCTTCCTCTCCCAGAACCCTTTGCTCGCATCTCAGCTGCCCCCCTCATCTTAGGCCTCCGGGGGCCGTGTCCGACCCCCGCCACTTTCCATTTGCGGCCACAATTGTGGCTCTTTAGGAAAGACTGAGACCTTTTAACTCTGTTCCTCTTCTCTGACCAGTGGATTACGCCAGTTATTACCAGGGCCTGTGGGATTGCCCCGGTGACCAGCCGGATGAACTGTCTTTTCAGCGCGGCGACCTCATCCACATTCTGAGCAAGGTAAGCATGTGTAGTGTGCGGCTTGGACCCAAAGTCGATTTCTTTTTCCACTTATTTTTCTCTCTTTTGTACTGGGATTGAACCTGGCGCCTTCACACTGAGCTGTGTCTCTCCCCTCAGCCCAACTTTAAAAAAATAATAAAAAAAAACATGGTCTCACAAAGTCACTAAATTGCCCAGACTGGCCTTGAACTTGGCAATCCTCCTGCCTCAGCCTCCCAGAGTGCTGGGATGACAGGTGTGCACCACCACGCCTGGCTGGTTTCGTCACCCTCAAAGAGCTAGTCACCAAAGCCAGCATTAGCCTGTGTTACTCTGGCTGGGTAAGCTGCCTGATTCCTTTTCTAGACAGATGAGACTGTAGTGTAATTACCCCAGGGAGGAGGAGTCGGGCGCAGTTGGTTTGAGTGCAGAGAGTGCTAGGCTGGTGAATCCACCCCCCTAACATTATCCTCTTTCTCAATCAGAAGCTAACCCCAGGCCCAGCAGGCTAGCTCGCTGATTGTTGATCAGAAATGGTCAGGTTTTGGGGGGTTTTTTGGTACTGGGGACCGTATGCTAAATTCACAGCCCTTTTTTTTTTTAATGCAAAGGGCCTGGGGTGAATCCCCAATACTAGGGGAGGGAAAAAGGATGATTTCCAATCCTTCTTTGGTATGAAGAAGATGCCAGACTCCTCCTGTTAAGAAAACCTCGAAGAGCCCATCAGCGGGCCGAGATAACAGGTTCCGCTCCTCCAAGAATTTATTTAAAAGGCCTCGCTCTCTCTGCAGCCAATCAATATCTACAAACGTATTTTCAAATAGGCACCGTTTGCTCTTTAATTGCTGACTATGTGAATTCCGTAAAGGAAAATTGAAAACCCATTGTATTACTAACCCATCATTTACGGTTTATATTCTTTGAATGTCGGGACTAGCTCAAGAGTCTGGGTTTGAAATATACCGTTAGCTCCTTGGGGAGCCGAGCAGGTCTGACCCGAACCGCCTTCCCGTGGACCCGGTGGATCCGTAAGGGAGGCCCTAGCCCTCCGAGGGGGGCGCACAGGAAAACCCTCATCGTCCCCCGATTCCCCTGGATCGATTCCTTAACTCGGTGCTGCGGCCCCAGGACCCCAAGCACACATCGGGAATGGACACCGGCCCGGTGGGTCTCTCGCGTCGAATTTGTGTGCATTACCGCGCTGGCATTCGGGGTAATCGAGTTATCCGCTCAGGTGTGACCGGGCCTGTGTTTGCCTGGAGCCGGCAGGTGAACAAATTAACTGTTTACATTGTCTGGAGGCGCCTGCAGCAGGCAGGGGAGCGGAGCCAGGCTGTCTGCCGGCCTCACCCGCTCTCTGTCATGATCATTTTGTTTGTTTCGCTCGTCTTCCGCCTTTGTTAATGGATTCTCGCTGGGGGTCCCTCTGCTCCAGCTGGAAGGGGCTGTGGGCCTCAGTGGCTGCATTTTTAAGAACTCGGAGAACATGAAGGGAACCAACCCCACCTGTGTGTTTTTTTAGACCTAACCTCTTCTCTTTCGTTACTAAAAGATAATCCAGCAGAGTTTCATTCCATCCAAAGCAAACTTGCGGCCCTGGTTCTGTCAGCTTCTTTCTTCATCCTTCTAGAAGGTTCTGAGTCCATTTTCATGACTTACCATTGTACTACTGCATTTCTTGTGTTTTGGGTGTGTGTGTTTGAGACAGGGCCTCACTGTGTAGCTCAGACTGGTGGCCTGGAACTCACTATGTAGCCCAGACTGGTCTCGAACTCACAGCGATCCTCCTGCCTCAGCCTCCAGAGTGCTGGGATCACAAGTGTGTACCTCCAGCTCCGTTTCTTCCTCCCAGAGGCGATTCCAGCTTCCCCTGGATCCACGTTGCTAATCCCTGCCTATCGAAAAAGAAAAACAGAAGCTAGGCGTTCAGTGGAACTTTGCCTTGCAAAGCTCCATCCCGGTGAACTTTGGCTTGGGGAAATCTTGGATTGGATTCACCTTGATTCTGTTACCTGACTCGGTCAGGAAGAGTCGCAGAACGTGAAGGGGGCTTCCTGACCACCCCGTCCATTCACTTGCCTCAGAGGCCTGCATGAATCAGTTCAAGCAGACCAAGGAGGAGATCCTGCTAACCATCCGCAGCCAGCCGGCTCTTCGGAAACCTGGCCATCTGGCTCTGGAATTATCTGTGTGTCCTAAACCCATCACTCAGTGGTCCTGGCCACTTCCCGTCTGCCATACCAGGACGACAAACAGACGGTCTGCAAAGCTCGGTTTTCTCACTAGCCAGCAGAGCCGTAGTCCATCGGGAAAGGCTGGCCACACAAGGACCTGGAAAGTCCCCTCCTGGAGTCGTGTGGCTCGCCTGGCCGCGAGTTGATCTCTTTCCCAGAAAGGCTCCTTGCATCTCCAGCATCCCCAATCTAACCACGGCGGCCGGATACTGCGAAACCGCCAGAGAGCTCCAGAAATGCATCTTCACCACTGGGCACGGAGGTGCACACCTGTGATCCCAGCACTTGGGAGGCTGAGGCAGGAGGATTGCTGTGAGTTCAAAGCCAACCTGGGCTACGTAGTGAGATCCTGTGTCAAAAAAGAAAAAGGAAATTAAAAATAAGGGCCGGGAGTAGCTCAGTGGCACCCGTGCCTGCCTGGTAAGCACAAGGTCCCGAGTTCAATCTCCAGTACTCCCCGCCAAAATTCAAAATACATATGAAATAAAAATCCTTTTGTCTTTAGTTCTCATAGACACCTGTGGTTACCTCTTTCTCTTTGTCTGATAAAAGAAATATTGCGAAGAGGAAGCTGGGCCGGAGGATTAAAGACCCTTGGATAGAAAATAGGACAAGGGGTAGGGGAAGATGACAGTCAGCTTTGGGGCCTGGGTCCCTGCTGTTCCTAGCAGTTTTAGGGGCTTGTTTGTTTGTTGTTCTTGGGAACTGAACTCAGGGCCTTGAGCAGCCTAAGCAGGTCCTCTACCACTCAGCTGCATCCCCGGCCCTCTTTGTATTTTATTTTGAATCTCACTAAGTTGCTGAGACTGGCCTTGAACTTGTGATCTTCCTGCCTCAGCCTCTAGAGTGGCTGGGAAAACTGCTGCGTGGCACTGTACAAACTCTGCTGTTTCTTTTTTGTTTTGTTTTGTTTTTGTTTTTTTGAGACAGGGTCTCACTATGTAGTGAGACTGACCTGGAACTCACTATGGAGCCCAGGCTGCTCTCGAACTCACAGCGATCCTCCTGCCTCAGCCTCCCGAGTGCTGGGATGACAGGCGTGCGCCACCACGCCTGGCCGTTCTGCTGTTTTTTAATAGACACCCAGGAAGAATCCAGCCTTGAATCCTGGGATCCTAGGACAAACCTCACGGAAATCTTTGAGTCTGGCCTTTGGGATGATCCCAGAAAGAGACATTTATCCCTTTTCTAAAAAATAAAAATAAAACAAGCTCTCCAGAGAAAATGGTTGGCTTAGACTGGGCAGGAGCGATATACCCCCTTTATCCAAAGGCTCATTACCTGACCTGTCCTCAGAGAGTGCAGGTGACCCCAGAGTTACTGACGTGACTTAGAAAAGTGACTTAACTTGCTAATCCTCAATTTCCTCACCAGTAGTATTTCTATCCAAACAGTTGCTATGATACTTCCACGAGACAATTTGTAGAAAGAAGTGCCTGGAACCCAGGAGAAAGAGATATCCTACGGCACAGAGGCTCTTATGTGAGTCTCACTTTGTAGTTAAGGCTGGCCTTGAACTCACTAGGTAGCCCAAGCTCACCTTGAACTCTCAGGGATCCTCCTGCCTCAGCCTCCCAAGTGCTAGGATTATAGGCATGTGTCACCATGCCCAGCAACCGTGCTTTTCCTGTTCTGAGCCACTTCATCCTGATGTCCGAGAGTCGCCAAACGTCTCTCCCAGGACAGACTGGAGCCATCAGCCTGTGAAACTGTAACCCAGAGCACAGTCAGCAGGGTCTTAAAATATATGAAAGGGAGATTTTAATAAGGAAGCAGAGCCAATCGTCCAGCGGACGTTCCCATGTCCCTCTGGGGCCCAGATATTTCCAAACAGCTCTCTCTGGTCAGGGACCGAGTCTCCCTTCCTCCCGGAAACAGAGCTGGGACACAGCTCGGGCCACAGCGGGGTGCCGGGTGCCCTTCAGCAGCTGCAGATTGCCGTGGCAGGCGGGGGGCGTCCTCAGACGTAACCAATGGCTCCCAAGGGTCCCCGTCCCATAATGACTTCCGACGACGACAACACCGCGACCGCCACCGCGCTCAGGTTGGAAGGGAGCGGGAGAGAGGTGTTCAGAAGGCCTGTTCACTCAGCTGCGTTTTAATTTCTTTCTCAATCTTGTCTCAATTAATTTCCCAGAATTAATCTCACGGAAGCAAATTCGGCAGCACAGAGGCTGTGGTTTCAGTGTGGCGGTCGCTCCGCCTGAACGTGAAATAGGAGCTAATATAAAAACCCATCTGCTGCCTCCGAGACACAGGCCGGCCGGCTGCCGCTCCATCCTGTCTCATCCCAAACCTCGACCGCGGGTAGAGGCCGGGGCGCGACAACAGGTGTGCTTGGAAAAGCCATTTAGCCGGCCACCGGGCACGGCAGGCCAGGGGCTGAATCTTCCTCCTCGAAGGAGTGCTGGGCCCTAGCTTGATTCCTCTGATGGGAGGACCTCAGGCCCCGGGGTGGACAAGCACCTCTGTGGTCACTGGTTATACAGGGGAGGAAGAGAGGCCAAAGCTTCTGTTTGGGGCACAAATAGATCACAGGTCTCAGCTTTCACAGACACGACCCTGACTTCCCAGGGAACATTCCTTCTAAATAGTAAAGGTGCAAGCTGGGCACGGTGGTGCACACCTGTAATCCCAGCACTAAGGAGGCTGAGGCAGGAGGATCCCTGAGTTTGAAGTCAGCCTGAACCCCAGAGAGAGACTGCCTCAAAAAACCAGAGAGAGGAGGGGGAGAAGCTCTTTCTTCATGGACTACAAAGGAAATGGGGACCCTCCCTGAGTGTA